AATATAAAAGCATATCTTAAATGTAGCTGAAATATTAATAATTTTCAAATAGAAAATTTTATTTGGGCAACATCCCAAAAAGCTCTAGCATTTTTTGTTTGTTTGTTTTGTTTTCCAGAAAGTTTTATATTCTCCTCATTTAAAAAAAGTTGGGAACATGGATCTGTAAAAAAATAGCTTGTACAAATACAGTATGATGATGGCAGAAGTACAGTGTTACTATTTCTTTAAAAGACTCATAACTACATTGTATGTATTCATACTAGAGCAAAACTGGGTATAAAGAAACTCAATAAAGAGCATAAATTGGAGATGCTTGGGTGGTGTGTATTATTTGTGTGGCTTGGTGTTTTTTTTTTTAATTGGCTTCCTATTTATGCAACACTAATTAAATTAAGACCTGTAGTTTACTTTGGCACTATTTTTTCTGTCTTCAAAAGAATTGGAGGTATATCAGAAATTGCATATGCCCATAAAGAGGAAAGTTTTTCTCACTTTCAAATTGTAATAATCCGATTTGGAAAATTAAGTCCAAAAATTCAAGAAAAATGTTATTTCATAGAATCATAGAATTGTTAAGGTTGGAAAAGACCTTTAAGATCATCAAGTCCAACCATTAACCTATCACTGCCAAGTCCATCACTAAACCATGTTCCTCAGCACCACATCTATCCCTCTAGGGATGGGGACTCAACTGCTTCCCTGGGCAGCCTGATCCAGTGCCTGCCTACCCTTCCGGTGAAGAAAGGTATAGACACGTGTGCTTATACATACATGTACATACACACACATTCTGGTGCTTGAGAGCAATTGTCGAAATGACAAAGCTCAAAAGTCCCAAGATTGTGCCGGCATCACTAATGATGCCGATTCACAAATATGTCTTAGCAACCTACATGCCAAAAGCTGCCACTGATGACCCAAGAAAAATGTTAATTTTATCACCACTCAACTAAAAAGTTCTGGAACCTGTAGCTGGCAAGTTAGTGCCAGTCTACCATGCTGCTTGTCAAGGACAGAGAGACAGATAGAAGCTCACAGAAGAGCGTGAATTAAAGGAAAGACCCTAAAGCCCAACATGTGGAAAGCAATGCTCCTGAAGAAGTTAGCAATAGCTTTGATGGTAAACTTCTTTAAGCTGTTTTGACACCATTTAATGTTTTAAACTGACCCAGAAGTGGGAACCAGAGCTCAGTACTCTGGCCCTTAGATCTTGCAGGCTTTATGTACCTTCCATTCTGCAGCGAGGCACAACTTCAGCAACAACCAGGGCAAGTGCCATCACCTCCTCAGCCCATCTTAATCACCAGCCTCATTTGAGTACCAGGACAGATAATAAAGATTTTCACACCAAGACTGAAGATGCATTGGCCTGTATGAGGCACCCTACAGCCACAGCTACCGGATCAGGCTTTTCAAGGAACTTAAGACACCAGATACCTAATCTGTGGATGTAAGGATGAGAAAAACATTAAACTGAGCAAAGACCTGGCAAGAAGGAAGCAGTTTTACACCTATGCAGAAGTAGAAATCTAAGCACATTGGAGAGTAAATTTTTTACCTTTAAAATTACCTAGGAGATCAGGCAAAGGTTTTTTGAATTGTACCCTTGTATTTATGTATCTCAATTCTACCCAAGTCCCATTCTAGGCCAGCAAAAGTTTTGCAAATTGCACTGGTGCAGGCAGATAACCAGATTTCACCGGGTCTTTTTGTGGACCTACGCCTAAGTCTGCTGTGGCAAGGGTAAAGAATGAAATTTCAGAGAAAACTTCCACAGACTAAGAGCAAAAACCAGGCAAATGAGCAAGTTGTGCTTCATTAAATAAACTCAGAATCACCCACAGCAATGCCAAATGAATGCACTCAGTCTTGCCTGACTTCTGAAGTTATAGAGGATACCTGGGTCTGGTTATCATGCGAGTAGAGAACTACCTGGGAATTCCCGAGCTAAGATGAACACTTTCTGAACATTAAAGCATACACACACAAAAAAAGAGTTTGCTTGTTGCTGCTGTTACAGATGGACAGAAATTGCACCAGAATAAATCAACCTCTATGCAAGTTTTCTTACACAAAAAACTTCTGTATCTGACAAGTAAATAGTCTCAAGAGGCTAAATATATATAAGGTTAAATTAACAGGCTATGCTATTAAAAAAAGTAGTATCCTGTTCTTCCTAGTCCAGCTGAGCACCAAACCAGGTGCTGTTCTGCAAGGCAGTCTCCGAAGACATTCCTTTGCCTGCAACGCTGACTATCAGCAACAACAAATTGAGCGGTATTTACATGATTTGCTTGACTACATCTTTCCTTTCACTGCCCTATCTTCATCCTTCCAAACATCATTTAGTAGGTAAAGCAAGCTTTGCCAGTGAACAGACGAGGAAAATTAGTTGCTTGCATGGATACATACTTATGCTATTGTACGTGTGATGTTATGGCACCAGACATACAATAATGATGCTTTCACAACCACTATTCATTAGCTGCACTCATTTTACAGCATTTTCCAGACATAAGACTGGCCGAAGTTAATTTGCTGACTTTTTAAATATGTTAATTTGTCAAATCTGTTAATCAGTCAGTAGTCTGCTCTGAAAAGAGGGAGAAAGCAGAACCAGAATTTGGTTTTATATCTTTTTATTAATGAGGACAATCTCTCTCATATCTGAAAGCCAGAAAAAAGTGTTTCTCCCAAAACAATCAGATACAAATAAATAGATCAGGAAGAAAATTATCCACAACACAATCTGACAAAAATAAACCCCATACTTCCTACAAAGACATGGGAAGTTAATTTTTAGGAACAGAACAAGTAGCTATCTTTAATGCGTTTGTTTCAACTGCTACTGTATAGCTCTTTATACCTCATTTTACTCAGAAAAAAAAAAGGCAGCCATATGAAAACAACAGCTAGTCAGTTCAAAATCATTACAGAGAATGTTTTTGCCACCTACCATACACATCAACTTTGCTTTTGAACAATGACTTTTGATCAATGAATTTTGATCACTTACCAGACTCCACTTCAGAAAATGAGGAGCCACCCCACCATCTCACTTCTCTCTTCCCAAAATGAAAACCTTCATGATTTCTTTTTTTGCTAATACGTACTGATGTACCAGTGAAAGGAAGAACTAACCTTAAATGTGCACTAATTGGTGGCTACCCCTTTAACAAAAAAAAAAAAGTTAAGGCTACTGCATAGGAATAAAGTCCATTATCTTTAATTTTAAATTTCTCGTATTGGAGCATTACTTAAATGTCACAAGCTATAGCATATGCCCGTTCCCAGGCAGGTTTTTCCCTGCAGCTTTTTTTGCTTTATCGAGTCAAGTTGTGTCATATGTCCTGCCATTCTAACTGTCAAGAAGTCTTTAAATGACCTAAAGTTAGTATTTTCTTTCAGGGTCAACATAAACTTTTTTCATTTATTTTTAATGAAAGTAAGGGAATTGTAACAAAGTGGGAGGAACCTGATAAAAAAAAAATAAATTCATATTCTTTCTTCCTTTCACGGAAAAATCCAGATAATTTGGACATCCACCACTGGATGAACAGAAAAATGCATGTTCTGGTGGATAATATGAGCTTGGTTGCTTTAATTATTTAACTGCTCTTAGTCACTTTTTCTCTGGCTAAATAACCTAGGAAACGGGATATCTAAATTTTATATTTGTAGCACTTGAGTGAGTTGTTTGTTGTACCTTAAATGATACGAGTTTGAATGGATACTAGGAAGTTTTTCAGTCTTGCAATGACTCCACTAGACTGTCTCACCTCATCGTCATCCTCTTAGCAGAGTTAATTCATCTGCAGCCAACTTACTGGTAGGAATTTGCGGCAGCCAAGTGCCCTAAATAGCATCTACTCTCAGCTGTCAATTAAAAGGTGTTCTCTTTAAAAGTCAGAGATCCATAGCTTCAGTATTCCCCAAAGCCGGCACTAGGTTGCTAGGGTGCTACATAAGGAGGTGTGTATGATACTTGGGGAAACGGAGCATAATGCAGAGATGTGAGAATTACTGGAGAACTAACAGTGCTAAGTCCACCCAGAGCCATAAGCAAAGCAACTATCAGCAGGGGTACAGTCCTGTTTGTTCCCTGCAGTATCAGTCCTACACCAGGCTGACAAGACCAGACTGACCTAGACAACCGCAGCCTGTAAAATCCATCTGAACTCCATGCCACGCAGACCTACCTTCTTCAGTTCCACTGCCATAAAAACCCCAGCCGCTACAGAGTAAACGTACTCTGTGACTTGAAGTAAAAGCATGTCCGAACAATTACGACAATTTCAGAGCTCTTTTAATAGGCAAAAGAACTAACCAAACCCAAGACCCTTCATATCTCTAAGCTCCATAGATACAGCTAATGGAAACGGCAGTCTGTAGTCCTGTTAGTCATTTTGTTCTGAATTGCACCTCTTAAACTTCACTCAAGAATAAACCCTACTATTTCACAGATGAACACACTCAGGTGTAAGGTGATGCTGAAAACTTGCTGTATGGAGCCTGCCATACTTCCTATGACGCATTACATTGTCACAGATTTTCTGGGAATGGTCAAGTCTTCACCAATGAAGAAAAAAATCCTATATTTAAGACTATTTTTTTAAATTTTAAAAAGCTCTGAAAGTTTAAGGAAAGAAGCAACTACTTCTTAAGAAAAAACACAGACAGTAGAAGAACATTTTCAAAGCTTGTAATGGATCATAATTCAGTAAAAATGCACTAAAATTGATACACAGAATTATAGAATATCTTGAGTTGGAAAGGACCCATAAAGATCATCGAGTCCAACTCCCTGCTCCTCACAGGAGCATAACTGTACATAACTGTAAAAGATTCCAGTTTGCTTTTAAATAATCTTAAACTTTTAATTATGACAATAAATAGGAACAATCAATGCAGTGTTAAGAAACTGTGCAGAGCAAGTAGAGATGAAAGCTGTTGCACAATGTATCTGCTGAATCTCTTATGACCCAAGGCTTCAGATTTCAATTTTTGGCAGTGGATTCCAACAAGTCTTTTGCTTCATTTATTTTTGTTGCTAAGTAAGGTGATCCACCTGAGAAGAAAAAGGGGAAAGGAATACCATTTACACATCAGCATTAAGTATCAAACTATTTCACTTGCAGCATCCCCTTATTACTCACTTTTATTAGCTCCTCCTTCCTAAATAAATCCTTGTCATACAACTGCTTAAAAAATGACATTGATATGAAGTAAACTAATTGATAAGGAAACATGCGAAATGTAATCAAAACTGAAGTCACTGAAGAATAACACTGAAAAATTTGTCTCAGAGACTGAAATCTGAAATCACTTTACATCAGTGTGATTTAGACTTGCAGTGCAATGCTGCTGCAAACGTAGGCAAGCTCAGCTGCCTTGAACGTTCATCCAAAGCTAATAGCTATTATTTCCATCCACCCCAAAAACTAAGAGGTAAAAATTTATAAATAATTTTGACAAAGAATCATTAAGTGCATGCACATGCACACACACCCCCCTCCCCCCAAGCCTCTCCTGTAATAGATGCCTGGAATTACCAGCCAGAAACCATCACATTAAAGCTATTTAAACATGGTACGCCTTCTAACTTCTAGTCCTGAACAGTCATTGCTTTACGCTCCATCTAACAATCTGATTACAGTTCAGCGGTCTTTTTGTGTTTGTTTTTTTTTTACTCTCCCCCTGAGTGCCAACCATCTGCCTACAGTCACCACCAACAACATTACAAGGTCTACATCAGTAACTTAACCACTTACTATATACACCTATTTTTTTTTTTTTACATGAAAATATGATCCCAGCAGTACTGTGCACTGAATAGCCTTTTCCAAGGCATTTGTTCAATCATAATTTTTCATTCATCATTTCATTCATTCTATTCAACTCATCACAAAAAAATAATGATAGAAGAAACACGCAGAACTAGTTGTAGACACACATGGCAAGGCTTGCTTACAGAGTTCTTTAGGACATTCCTGCAGGAATCCAAATCTTTATAAAGTCATTTCATGGTGTAATAAAACAACTGGAGAAAGTAACAGAGTTCTCTTGTTCATGTTTTGGTTTTCTTTGAATGTAGCCTTAATAGGTAAGACACACCAGAGGAAAGTGAGGCAGGGCAGAGGAAAGGTAGAGAACTGACTACTGGAAAATGTATTTTTTTTTTCTTTTTTTAAACCAATTGCCTTTTAGCCAGGAATAGAATTTACTACATTGAGTATTGCTTCTTTCAAAGAGTAGACAAGAGAATCAAACAAACAGTAAAGACTAAAAACTGCAATAAAAATATATCCCACGTAATTTTTAAACGTGCATTGATTTTCTACATGTACCGTTTTCACTACATTGACATCCTTAAGTGCCATATTAATTTTGTAGCCCTCCAATGATAGAAGACTCAATCTCGTGATTGCCTAAGTGTTTGTTTATAATTAGGGCAAGTCCAAAAGGCTTCTCTCTTCCTCTTTCTCTGTGAACAAATATTCTTTCATAAAATTAGTAACTGATAAATTAACATACAATGGATCAATATAAAACCACATTTAAACTGAACTATGTAAAGGTTGACGAGTAACAATTTCAGTAGCGCTCACTGGCAATGTTATGCAAACTTCTATATATTTCTTATTTATTTATTTCTCATAATTCTCTCTTCAATGTTTGGGATCTCAGATAACATATGTAACTTTTAAAATCTGTAATTATTGCCCTTTCTTCTATCAACTCTGTCTGGTAAAATATTATTTTAAAATAGCATTCTAATGTTGAATATTATTTCTAAAAGCACATCTGTGCTACCCACAGCCAGAAGAAATCAAGATGTATACATAAGCAAACAAGTCTCTCTGATGCCACATGTTCAAGATTACTCCAGGCCCTAGCTCTGCAGCTGAAGATATTACACAAGATTTTTTTTTTCTACGGCCGTGCCAGAAGAGCTGCAGGGCTAGCACAGAGGCACAAATCCCTTCAACTGGTGTTCCTACTGAGAAAATGCTCCATCTTAATAGCACACAGGAGGGCTCACTACATCCATCCAAACCTACACTGTGCCCAGCTGCAGGTGCATTACAGCTGTAAGAGTGGGTCGTTAAAATGTACGATCTTCGTAAAGGGAACTGCCTCTTTAGGTCTACTCAACATCCACATGGAGATTCACGGTTCTGGCTCACGTCTCTAAAGTACTGCTACAATAAACTCAGAAGTTCATTATCAAAAACATTTTGATCTAATAGGTACTCTAGTGGTTAAGAGGCCTCTGACCATCATAATATATTAGAAATGCAGAAATTCTCTCTCTTAAAAGATAATTTCTTTTCTATGTCTGTGCAGCTTATACATTATAAAAAGTGTAAAAAATGGAAGTGTGAAATCGAATAAGCAGGACAACTTTAGAATTAAACTGAGGGGAGAAGACAACAAAGCAAAGCATCGACTAAACACTTCCCATGGCCAGTGGTCACAGTTATTTTTTCGTTTTCTTAAAATGGGGTGCTGGCAGGGAGCCCTGTAATTCTGTCAAAAAGATATAAAAACCCTCTGATTTCCCCTTTTGACTTCTGAAATACAGTGCAACTCTTCACCATCTGTTATTTTAAAGTAGAAACAGCAACGAACATATGGGCTTTCTTTCTCAACCAGCTGTAGTGTAGTTAAAGTTATAATAATAGCCTTTCTGTAAGATAAATTTACATTAAAAACCTGGCCAGTAAAGCAACAGTGCCCAGCTTTACATTTTTTCCAAGTGAATTCCAGGAAGTCTGAAATTCATCAATGATGTACTTAGTGACTGCAGAACATTTCCCCACAGAAAGTTACTTTCATACATGTGACTGATCCCTCTCTGTTCAAAACAGCAATGTCAGTTTAATGTAAAAACGTTATAGCTAATTTTTTCTTATTTTTGAATAATTTTTTTTTTTAAGTGTGGAAGACTGGTCCCTGAACTCATAGTTTTAACTGAAGCAGCACAAGTCTAGAAAACAACATTATAGAAAGACAGGTAAAACCGTGGTTCATAAAGCTTAGTTTATCTGAGAGAAGACACACAGGAGCTCAAGTCTATAAATAAACAACATACATTTGCACTCAGTGTGGTTATTTACACAATCAGTAAACTTAAAGGATGTCATTTAAGCTTCTTTCTTTCCAGCTCTGGTTAAGAAAAGTAATAATTATTTACCTTTATCAGGATGATTCAAAATCATGATTCTTCTATGGGCTGTTCTGATTTTGGCCTTACCAGCAGATGGACTGCAAAACCAAATTGAAGTGCTTACCATAAATGCCACTGCGCTCAGGCTATAAATTAACAGTTTTATACTGGCTTCAAAAATAATTAAAACTTGAGATTTTCACCATCTTGTGGACAAAACATAAAACTGCATCTCTGAGGAAATAATAACAAAGACACACACTGAGAAGGACATTTTTAAGAAGCCTTTGTTTTTGACACATACAAATATGTTTCAGGCTTTTTTAAAATGCAATACATTCACTCATTTAAAATAAACAATTTGGGGGAAGAAAAATAAAAAAAAAAAGGGGAGGGGGGAAACCCAGCAGCTCTAGGGTGTATCTAGCTGGTTATTCTTATCATTAAATGCAGAAAACCCATTTTTTTCCTCCTAGAAAATAAGTATTTATATGGCCAGTGACAAAACAACAAATATTTAATATTACCACATTTTGTTATACTGTAAATATTTTTATAGCTGCTATAAATAATTCTTCTTTCTGCTGGGGCCTGAACAAAAACCTGTATTTGTTATTTTTGCAAAGCTGTTCAATGTGTTACATTCAGGGACATGCTGATTTACAAGTGCTACTTAATGTTGTTTCCTTCAATGACAGATACATAAAATATGTACTTGGCCTAAATTAAATATGTACCTTACCAGACAAATAACCACTTATGGATGCAGTATGCCAACACAGTAAGGCTATTGTATGCAAAAGGACAGTTTGAACGGTTTAGCTTTTCATAATTTGTTAGCATGCAGCAATGAAGCAGTGTTTTCCACTTCAGGCGACTTCTTAATCAGTGACGATTCAATTAATTAATATTTTTGTAGATACAGTTTGAATGCAAGGTATCAGCCCAACTACATTCCCAAGGTAAACAACCTCTAATTATTATTCTGTCACAGGGAAGTTAGGGTATGTTGCAAAAATAGTTTATAGAAGTGCATAATAAAAGAATACTTCAGTGGAACACTAAGTAACCCAGAAAGTAAAAATTAAACAGAGGGTAAAAGGCCTTGAACTATATAAATACAAAAATGAAACTCTGTTATCAGACAGCTAAAAATAATAATCCAGATTTTTATTTGTAAAGCTGTGGTTTAATAATAAAAAGGAAAGTTGATACACCACATTTAGAAACTCAGATGGTCAAAGCGTAACTGTGGAAAAGTTGCAGTTGCATATTATGGAAAATCATGCAGTTCTGCTCCAGGAGGCAACTGTGAAAAAGGTGTTTTACATGAAATTTGCTTAGTTTATAAGATATTGCTTATCCCACAGTGAGACTGGTCTCTAAAGATTCTTAATCACTATCAAAAAAACCTTTAATGTCAAAATCATATTTTTGTTGAATGGGTAAAGCCTCACAACCTGAGTCACACCAACATCATGGTGCCTTCTAACATCACCAACTGGCTGTGAAGTCTATCACCTTGGTGGGAACAGCTGATACCCTGGAGGGCAGGGCTGACATTCAGGGGGACCTGGAGAGGCAGCAGGGATGGTGCTGAAAGGGACCTGGGGGCCAGCAAGAAGAAGAGCCAGCATCGTGCGCTGGCAGCAGAGGAGGACAATGGCCTCCTGGGCTATACAAACGGGAGCATGGTCACGAGGTCAACAGAAGCAGCTGTTCTCCTCTACTCGGCCAACCACATCTAGCTGCTGCATCCAGTTTGGGGACCTCTGTACAGGAAAGACATTGGCCAACCACCACAGGTCCAGCAAAGGCCACCAGGACGGTCTGGGGCTGGAGCACTCTCCCTTTGAGGAGAGGCCGAGGGAGCAGGGCTCGTTCACCCTGAAGAAGAGAGGGCTGCTGGGGGACCTCACAACAGCCCCCCGAGCATCTACAGGGAGGTCAGAAAGAACAGGGGTCCAGGCTCTCTCAGTCATGCATGGTAGGAAGGTGAGAGAAAATGGGCACAAATTGAAAAGGGAGGTGCGGGCTGGACATACTACTTTTTCACCCCCAAAAGAGTCCAGCAGTGACACCGATTGCCCAGAGAGGTTGTGCGTTCTCCATCCTTGGGAGTGTTTCAAGACCCACTGGATAAAGTCCTGAGCAATCTGCTCTGACCCCACTGGTGGTCCTGCTTTGAGCAGCAGGTACAACTAGAGACCTCTTGAGGTCCCTCCCAACTTGTGCGGTCTTATGATCATATGACATACCTGTGCAGTAAGCTGTGTTTAAAAATAAATTAAATTAAAAAAAAAATCATAATGATTAAATATTAAATACATTTCTGTTTGTACACTTACACAATGTACTGTGTTTAATGTTATAGCCTAATGCTTTTTGTTATGTCATTTATGTGTTAAGAATAATGATTCAAACATTTTTAACTACTGCATTTATATATTTTGTACATTAACAAACAATTAAATATTTCCTATGGAAAGAAAAATTATGCATCTTGTTTCATAGAGGAAATGGTACAATACAGAAAATTTTATTCATTTTTATCTAGAATTTTATCTCACGATTTTCAGACATATTTTCTAACCATAAGTTCAGCATTAGGGATTTGATAGTTGTAAACCATTATGTTAGGACAGCTATATTTTGCTAACATCCATTTTGTCTAATATTTGGAAAACAATCCTAACATTTTTACCTCCCATGTCATCTCAGACATTCCCCCATCTCTCCCATGAGCAGTTCCTTCTACAGAGTACATAGTTGTTAATATTATTGCTATGTTTATATTGAATTTCAGTAATCAGTGCTGCTTCATAACAACTAATGCAAGAACACTTAAAATCAGCGAATATTTCCAATACAGTACTTCGTAGCTTTGGATACCTTTTACATAGCTTAAATACAAATCATGTAAGATTGCAAGGGTATTAGTAGAAACATGCATGTGCAAGATGGTTATTAGAGATTAACATTTCGAACGTGTAATGGGCCAATATATTTGAAATTTAAAAGCTACCATTAAATGCTCACCTTTATTATGGCTTGTATTTATTATTTATACTGCCCATGCATACTCAGCACTTGAAATAATGAAGAAAGTCTTTGCCTCAAAATTTAATATGACTTGGAAGTGATGACACAGAGGACAAGTGTTATAATAATATGATCAGGGCCAAGACAGATCTAGTTTGTGCATTTGTGCACACCCTGTTATTTTCTGTAACACTTTAAAACTCACTTGCCTTTTTTTTTTTTGGTGGCATTTTTATATGTATATAATACAGTAAGCAGCCAGTTAAAACTGGTGTAGAAAAGTGTGTTTAAACAATGTAAAAATTTCCTATAAAGATGTTAGCCATGTTTCTACACAATTGAAGGCTCAATCCTTTAAACATTAAGAAGAACCTTCCTCAAATCTAAGTCTTGATATTTGCAAGACTCGGTCCAAACACAACAAGCAGCGTCACTATTCCCAGTGCGGAGTCAAGCTATTAAAATTTAAAATTAAAGGGGACTGATTTCAGATGTGATGAAACTTCAGACATGTACACGAGCAGTATTCAGCCTAGGCATTGCCACTGTAAACACACTTTAATGAGCTTCCATGTGCTGCTCTGAAATATCATTGAATTTGCCCTTATAAAGTGCAAATGTTAATACCTTATCAAACTTAAAGGCCAAAGGAAACATTTCTGAAGAGCATTCCTATAAATCTCTTCTTCAGTGTGCAAACATAAAATATTTCAAATAAATGTAATGTTTTATCTTACAATTTCTTAAAATGAATGCTAAATCTGCATCATTTCCATTATGTTAGAAGTAAACACAAATAGCACACTGAATAGGATTTTAAGTCCCAGTTTTCACCATCTGAAATAATTTCTTCTGGGGATAGTTAAAACCATCCTCCTTATCCTTTTTTTTTTTTTTTTTTTTTTTCTCCCAACCTTAAAATTCAGAACTGATCTAAACCATAAACAAGAAATCTGCTACCTAAGGTAAGATCTGCTCCTCTCATCTGGAAAGCCCTCAGACTCACCACCTGCTTTAGAGAAAACACTAAGGTGTGTGATACCATTGGCCATCTAAATATTTTTTAAAAAATCCACTGAAAAATCCATTGAATACTCAGCCTGGAAATTATTTCCCATATCTACGCTAAATGACAAGTCTCTCCAAATATTTTTGCTTGGAATATGCTGCAACTTTTTAAACCCAAACAACTCAGAGTGAAGTAAGAAAAAATAATGTTACTGATTCATGAAAAAAATGAGCAAAATTGATTTGTTTTCCTCATTTATTAATATAATCTACAATATTACTTATCTCAAGGGGTTTTTTGGAGATCAGACCATGTGATCGCACTAATTAGCACAGTATGTGCTATTCTGATTATTTCTAGAGTACCGATTCTCCACTGCAATATGTTACCATGCCTTCAAGCCAAACAGAAGTCGCATGTTTTATTAGCATTTTATTGTTTGCTTTTTAGCTTAAGCAGAATATTAGAATGGTTTATAAGCCATTAGAAGTCTTAAAAAAAAAGTTACGATTTTGGCAAGGGTATTCCACATCCTTGCAACATGCATCTTCTTCATTCAATACTTACCAAACAAAAACATATTAATGTAACACACCTACCTTATACCTAAAATAAGACTAGCTTCTCGCCTACTCATTTTCTGTTCAAACCCTCCTTTATAGTATGATGAAAGACTCTAAAAAGAAGAAAGGGAAAACAAGCAATAATTAGTTTCATGTACAAGGTGCCAGGACCTAAATCGTATTTATATGACCTCATTCAGAGCATTACATTCATCTATAATTTATTTCAAGGCATGGAATGAGTACAAACCAGATAATATGAAAGGACTTCTCCTGAGTGTTAACACATACAAAAAATGACTTAAAAATAATTATCTGGTTTTTTACAATCTTCTACTGCTAATAAGAGATATTAATAGCTACAACCATTAAAATCCTGCCTTCAGGCAAAAGAGTCCAGAATCAAAGTACATACTAGCATAGAGTGCTACAGTGTGTGTTGGGGAGGGCAGGGGAGGGAAAGGGGGAAACTTGTCTAGAACAGCTTTGGTACCACTGCAATGGAAAATGGCAAAAGTCACAATACTTTGGCATCCAAGGTATTATGGACAATCACTCCACATATTTCTACAAAGTAGGTAAAAACAACAATAAAAGGATAAGAACAGATAAATATAATACACTGATGTAGAGTCAGTATGTTTTTTCACATGAAGAAATGTTACTTGAAAAAAAAAAAAAAAGAGTTCTTTGAAGGAACCCTGAAAATAAACAAAAATAAATAAATAAATAAAAAGGCTTAGCATTAAGCCACAGCCTCTATTTCAGGAAATCACTGAGCTGGAGAACACTGGAAAGCAGCAGAGTATATGGGGAAATCCTAACCAATTTTGCCTTTACATCCTTCCCTAGACATTGATGACTGATGACTATTAGATACAGGATCTGGGGTTAGTTTTTTTAAACTCATTGGCATGTGAGGCTTCAGCCACTGTTTTAAGAAGGCGAGAAAACACACAAGTGGGAAAAGACCATTAAAATGAAGGAGATGGAGATGAGAGTAAATCATTACAACAGTTAATTGTCATAGGGAATGGGTTGAAAGTACATTTGTCAACCATAAATGTATTTCAAATTAAAAAAAAAAGTTACTGAACCACCACTGATGGTTAGCAGTGGTCTCCCCAATGTACGTGTTTCTATAAGAATAATTAGGGACTAGCCCATTGCTACACAAATAATGGTCTAAGCTGTACAAGTCCCAGAGGCAGCAGATGTAGCTCCAAGACAGCCTGCCTTTGGGAACTGGCACACAGAAATCACTCAACCAGACTGAAGTTTTTTTCCTCAATGCAAAACCTATCAACTGGGGAAAAACAAGCTTCTTTTGTTGCTATCAAAGGGAAGTCTGGCCTGAGAGCTGAGATTATTTTTAAGTGTTCCTTTTACTCCCAAGTGAAAATGTGTCTGGCCCTTAATAAAACACCTCACTCATTAAAGATATGTATTCATATTCAGTAAGAATTTTGCCTTATGTTTACACAAACTCTCTCATGTAATTTCAAAAGCATTAAAGCATTTAAAGGACTCTGTCTATGATATCTAAGCCAAGCCTTTAATTAAGCTTAGGAGTGACATTCACCCAAAAGCGTGGTTCAGAAATACTTCACCTACTGCTACCCTCAAGTCACATGCAGCCGCAGAAAAGATTTTTTTGGTGTGCTGCTAAGATATGAAACTAATTTTACCTTCCTTCTTCCAACCCCAAACCATACACAAAATAACCACTACCATAACACTACAGGTATCAAAGTTAAAGCAACTGTGGACGTGTCGTGCTTACAACAAAAATCTGTTGAGGAACCGTTGCTATAGCTACAGGGTAACACAAAACAGGTCTGTAATAGTGCACACTGACAGTACAGGTTAGAGTAGGTAACACTAAGGGAACACACAGGGCTTCTCCAGTCCTCCAAGAGGAAACGATGCTAATGATTTAACGGCCACCAGACAACACCCTTGAGGACGCAGAACTGCACAGAAATTTGCAACGATGCCGAACAATTACTACAGCCAGTAGAGAAAAGTACACTTTCATGTCCTCTGAAAGATATTCCAGAACTTCTCCCAAAGCAGCTCAGGTGCAGATGGATTTTTGAAAAGGTTAATTCTTCTCTGCCCTTCAACTCTGGCATACAACTCTAATACAGGAGGACACTGGTTCACTACTCGTGTAGAGAAGAGCAATATTTGAATTATCTCTAACACAGCTCATGGTATATTATATATCACAGTTCTTGGTATATTTCATCTAAAATAATATTTGAAATAAGAGAACAGGGAGGGATGGCTATAGGCTTAAATTCGGAAATACTTTTTCATGTTTTTAAAGCCTACTTCCTTGACACTACTCTAATCTCAGGAAGCCTTGATTCAGGTCACTGCCAAGAAGAATGAAAAAAGAAATTCTGTTGCCTGTGGCCTTTGGCACATAGAGCAAAAACAGTTTGTTGAACTGGTCATCAAGAAAAAACATTTTCTTCTCAGAAGCGAAGCACGTAGCAAGAATAATCAATTCTTAATTTAAGTTCTTGATCCTAAACGGAATTTAAAGCAAAAGGAAATTGGACATAAAAGCCATTTTTCCCATTGGTTAGAATAAGGGGAAGAAACATTGAGTCTTCATTTTAGGAAACATCATGGCAAATTTCTAGTTCCCTAATGAAACAACTTTTGCACGCTATTCAAATTAAACCAATTTTTTTCCTAGTTTTAAATTTTAAGTAATGGCTGCAATGAAATGAAACAATACTCAAGACATTTTTCTGTTATGAGAACTCCTCGATGAGTGGGCAGTTCTAAACACTTGATTATTTATTAACCCCGGCTATTGCAAACAAATTCTGTACTGGAAAAATCATCGAAATGAGCTCTCCATTTCTTTGTACTATTTGGGGTGAGGGGAGGGGCCATCATTTAACTTACTTCATTTCCTTGCATGTCGTTACTGTTCTTACGTAAGCAAATTCTGCTTCCTGAACAAATGCTGTTAATAGGTTTGGGGGGCGAGGGGGAACAGAAAATGGCTGGACTTGCTCTGCAAATGTCTATTCACTCTTGCAAATTTTCACAAAAGCAGTCAGCTAAGAAAATCCAATCCACTTGGACCGCGACATCTTCAAGATACTTTTCCTGGCATAGCACAGGGAAAGCATCATCACTGTTTCCATGCCAGGTAAGAGATTCAAAACTCCATAACTGAGAGCATCCATCGTATTACACGAAGTAGTGAATTTTTCTGAAAACGCTTTGTGTTGTTCCACCACCAATACAATCCTCCATTGAAGAGGTCAGAAACACCGGAAGGAAAACAAAAACAAACACTACAATAACAAACTATTTAGAAGCTGTGTTATAATACAACCTTTGTTAAGATCAACTTTAACTTCCTTAACTTCAGTTAGAAAAAAAATATATAAAATGGACCGCAAATTGCATTATTCTCTGGAAACTTTATTTTCAATGAAGGACAAAAGAGATAGTTGCTACCCTTACCTCTCAATTCAGAACTCTATGAGTATGAACAGAATCGGATCCAATAACGGAAACAGTGCAAAAATCTCTAATGAAGTGCGATAGAAGATACCCTTTTCTTCTGGAACACAGAATTTTCAAAATACTCAAATCCGACAATCCTGACAGTTCATTTTGCCTAGAATTGCTGTTTCTGTCTTCAGTATCTTCTATCTTTCAACCTTCAATATCATTGATTCAACAAAGAAAGGTAATGAATGCTATTAAAATACTTCCTTGAGTTTTTATTTCACATTTTAAGGAAATATTAACATTATAATTAACAGCATTAAGGTCTGCCTGAGGAAGAAAAGCCAAATGACTCCTTAATGCTATGTACCTCCTACTGGCAACAGGCTCTTGTCACTACAAACAGAAACAAATCAGTGTCACTAGCATTTGTGACACCAGTAACAAAACTAGGCTCAAACTAAAAAAGCATTTCTCTGGAAACAAGCGTTCTGACTTGTCATAGTGGAAAAATGACTCCAGGACTAAATTACAGCAGCATTTACACTTCATATTTAAGAATATATATTTAACGGCCGTAAGTTAAAGTTAAATGAGAGGTAGAAATTCAGAATAAAACATAACACTTCTACTTGCCTTTACTTACTATTTTTGACTAAAAGATGCGTGCAGTTGTTGACTGTACATGTTATTTATTTAGGTAAGTAAATAGAAAGTGTCATATACTCGAGATACAGCAAGCAGGCATTTCAAATGATCACTTCATAACTGCTCAACTTGACCTTACCCAAGCCATTTATTAGTGAGCAGGAAGAAAGGATAAACAGCATCTGGATGTTTCATCACACATCACCTTGTGTGACTGCAACCAATGTAAACTGTGATTTCTATTGCAAATGGGAGTGGGGAGAGAAGAATTGCAAATGGGGGGAGGAAGAGTGGGGGCTTACAGAGAGAACAACTAGCTTTTAAATAGGCAGCTGCTTCACAGTCTCTCAAAAAAAGCAGGTGATGAGGGACAGGATTTGATTCTAGAAAGCTAGAGTAGCCACTGAAAATCATAGTGACCAAGTTGGGTGCCTCCAACCACCACTGGAAACCAGCAAAGTAACACTAAGCCTAGACACTAAATGTCATGAGATGCTTTTTCCAGTAAGCATAGGTAAAAGTACTAACTGCCTGATTTCCTTTGTCAGTATAGTTTAGAGGGCAATATGCTGTAAAGAAATGTGATGAAAGTGCTAATCCACAGATCATACTCAGCAGCTTCAAATTCCCCAAACAAAATAATGTAAAGCCACTAAAATAAGAAGTTTGGACAATAAGCACTGACATGGGATCTTTGTACCTAATCTTTTCTCTATTGTTTTAAAGAAAAATTATAAGTAGGAAATCATTGATTGTTCAGGGAAGAAGAAAAAAAACTTGGGAAAAAATACAATTCAAGAATGTAGTAGCTGTAGAGTAGTAAAGAACAAATAATCTTGGCTAAGAATTATACAAGGGTCTTAAATTTGGACTAAGATTGTAGAAGAAAGATATTATCACTACCCTCACAAATGTAAAGCTGACAAATACATACAGTCAATGGCAAACAGGAAGAGAGAGTTTTTACTGTACTCAGCAGATCTCATCTTACACTGAAAACTTGTATTTTCAAGTTCAGAAATAGAATAGCAGAAGAGAGATACTTTACTGGAAATCAACATACAATTCTGTGCTGTAAGGCAGGATGTGAAGGCAGACAGAGGATGCAGCTCCAGGGACGAGGAACACTGAGAATGCAGAAGCTCCTGGGTTGCTCTTTATGGTTGCTCATGAATTCTGCAGGACTCTGAAAGTCACTGTGGTAAAAATGAGATAGGCCTGTAATGAGCTTGGCTCAGCCAGTATACCAGTATTGAGGGGTACAGTTTCCTAGGAACAGACACCTCTGTGCAGTAGCATGTCATATTTCAATGTGTTAAAAAGAGTCACGGCCTGCTTTCTCATGTGAACATGTCTGAATTTAGATTCTCTAGCCTATATCTACAAATGGATAGAAGAAGAAATGCTGGAGCAAAACTACTGGGGAAGGAGGGTGAAGACTGAAGCACTCCCTACTCTGAAGCCACATGTCCTTATTGCTAGCTACTTCCAGCAAGCCTGCAAGTCAGGCTGTATCCATATCATGTGAAAGCAATTTAATTCGCAGTACCTAAAGTCCCCTCTGCTGTTTTGGCAGGCAGCTTGGGAATCTCTCAAAAAATTACTTTGAAAAGGAAAAAAAAGAATTGGTGTTGGTCTCACAACGGCAAGGCAATAGAGGAACAGAGAGCAAAAACTGATCCAGGAGCACTGTTTCTGGCTGATACACATCGCAATTAAGAACAAGTGTGGACCAGCCCCAAGAGGACAGCCCACATTTCAAGTCTTTCCCTCCCCAGGAAGCTTGCATTCATCAAGCTTGCACCTTCAGCACATGAACATGAAGTACAGATGGCAAATGAAATGCATATGCTCCTCTCACAACACTCTACCTCCTGATTTTCTACCTCATTATTATATTTTTAAATATGTAGGGCAAAATAAAGAACAAAAACTTGGTTAAAAGTTCAAATTAGCCGCGGAAGAAAAGACAGACAACTCTTATATGAATAAGAAAACAAGCTCCCCCATCTCTATGGCAACCTCTCCTAGAAGTTTATCAATTTGTCTTCTTGATTTTTAACACTATCTCAAAGAAAAATGACTAAATTCTTACATTTTTAGCTTCCCGAAATGAAACCGCATGTCATTACTTTGTAATCTCTAGGAATTAGCTATTTTCTCACAGCACACTTCAACAATTTATCATACACTTACTAGTAAAGAGTTCTGAAACATGGAACATCACCAGGAAAATCAGAACTGCTGATCAAACTCACAACCATCTTTTGATGTAGCTTCATCCACAAGGATTTAAAATATACCAGGTAATATGCCAGAACATACACAGTAAGGAGCACCCCTATCCTGGAAAAAAAATAATCTAAGCAGCACTTACCGTATTTAAGATAAAATGTCTCCTTTCTAAATACTTGAAATATAAAATCATAAATCTAGCATAAGGTAACCTCTAAACTTACAGAAGTTGAAATCCTCTTTGCCGTCTCTGTAATTGCCTGCTCCCATGGTTTCCAAAGGTGGAAAGCATAACGACCTGGAAAAGATTGAAGTTAAATGAAATTATAACCAACATTCACTACAATGAAAAAAAAAAGTCTCCAACTTATGTTCATCAGCTTACAGCAGAAAGAATTTTGGTTTAAAAAAAAACCCCAAAACATCAAAATCCTTCCTTGTTAATCTTTTCGTATCATTTATTTGCTGTACAGCACTGTTGCACTTTACTGGTTTTCAGTAGTAACCCTCAACAGCTGTTTTTGGATCCTGCCCAGCCGAAATCCCGCAGTAAACCTGCTATGGTTTACATTTTTCAATCTTTGTACTATTGGGGGAGAGAGGGGAAGAAGTTTAGTATACTTCATCTAAAAACCTAGTCATGGACTGCAAAGACCTATTGTGTTTGCTCACAAAATAAATAGATTTAAATGCATTTCAATATGATAAATGAGGATATCTGCCTTGTGAACTTTAAGAAAAAGGCTAGTATGAAACATTAGCTTTGGATACACATTATTTATTAAATACCATTCAAAGGTTATGTCTTCAAAAAAAGAAATCTATGTACTACATGTTTCTTGCTGTGATGTTTTGTGCTTAATCACACATTTTGTAAGTACTGCATTTTTTATTTTGTTACAAAGAGAGAATCTTCTGGGATTCAGAGCCATTCACCTCCCCACTAGCAGTGAACATTTATAGCTAGGAAAGGCTAGAGGGAACTCTATTAGACTGCGTTTTCAGAAGTACAAAGCAGGTCTATCAACTTCAGAATCAAGATTTGTGCCATGTTAGTGGAGGATTTTCCCTGCAAGTCCCCTCTTCCCAATTACTGTTTTGATTAACTATTCATTAGCAATGTAACTTACTATTATACACAATGGAAATTTTTTTTATAAAATATGGCTCTGCTTCATTCAAATAGCATCTTGCTTTCATTCTTAAGATAGGCCACGTGTCCATAGGTTATTTTAGTCATCTAAGCCTGTGCCTATGTTAACACAGAAGTGACAACAGCTGTTAGAGTATCACTGCTGAAATGCTGTGATGTATTAATGTATTACCTCACCTTCTTCTTAATGCTTTCTGTTACCACTTCTTTGCTAGCTGCCACTAATTCTTCAGCTCAACCAGCAGAAGAAATTCTAAGAGCATTCCTCTTCTGCTTCTATACAAACGCGTAGATAAACCAACTGCTTAATGGGTGTACATCAAAGATCTTGTCTTTCCTTCCCCAATAAAAACAACACAGCTGTACCCAGCAAACACCTGCTGAAGTTTGGTGCAACTTGTTCATCTACTGCATCTATTCTTGGTGTATGCATTTGCACATAGCTTGTGCTTTTATATGCTCAAAATAATGGAAATTGATTTGTGTATTTCAAAACCAGAATAGACCACCGTTATCTAGTCTGAGTAACCCAGAGTATAAATCATGTTAAGCTCATGCCCTGTTTTCAGACTAGAACCTATTTTTCAGAAGAACATACAGTCCAGATGCAGAGTTCAGGTAACAAAGAATGTACTAGGGGAACAGTTTAGTATGATCAATCACTGTAGCCGCTGAAACCTTCTATTTTTCTCTATTTGAATTTGTCAAGCATCACCTTCACATCACAAGATCTTGTTGCACTCTTCTGTACCAAAGAGCCTCCACCCTGCAATATGTTATTTAATAAACAAAGTAAACTTCTCACATTACATTTTGCAGACAAAAAGCAGATGAAGCCTTCTAGCTGCTGCCCATAAAATTAATTTCTCCAGCTGTGACATTTCAAAAAGAATTTTGGAAAATATGTCAAGAGTTTTGAAGGGACAGGAACTATAACCGGACACAATTCTCCATAGCGCTCCCAAGCAACCTTTCCACTTTCCACTATTTATATTCATAAAAACTGCATTAACCCTTTCAGAAACAGCAGCTCACAAGTGACAGTTCCACACTCAGCTGGTAATTTAGCTTACCTGCAAATGCAACAGTTGCAACACCAAGTCCAACTGCTATCATAGTTCTGGCCTAAAGCAGAAAAACAGGAGTCAGAATAACATGCAAATTCTAATTTGAAATATATGCACCTTTTATTTCAAGAGCGAGTATTTCTGATGTACAACGTGCACATTTCATATATAATTTACAAGAAAGATAAAAGTAAGTTCTGCGTTCCACAGGCTACATTAGATTTTACAGTTTAGTCCCATTAGCCCATGCCAACACATCAGGTTTAACTTGGAACTACCCATTAGCAAACCAGTGAACAAACGCTGACAAAGCAGCTCACAGTACGTAATGATAAAAACACAAGGCAGACAACTATTCAGGATTACTTGAAATTATTTGTGCAGACTAGTTCAATATAGTACATAACAGAAAGTATCAGTTTACTACAAAAACATGAAGAGCTAAAAAAAAAAATTGTTTTGCAAAGTCCTTCACTGGGAATCTCATCATGACATTGCTTGAAAATGGTATTAGAATATTAACTTAAACGCCATGGCCACAAATGTACATTAGCGTCTTCCATCTTTCACGCTTTAACTCATGGAAGCCCCAATAAAGACATGAAGCCCAGTGATCTCTTTTCATTGCTTTGTGTCAATCACTGGCTGGATGCTATCTTATAGTACAAATATTTGTAACTACGCAGACTTCTGACAGATTTCAGACAGTGTTCATTATCAGCTAAAATTTGCTTTAAGTCTAACGGGTCTTGGAACCAAACCCACAAAAGACTTGAACATCCGATATAGACAATAGTAACTCCTACCTTGCACTAACTCAAAACCCCCAGATTAGGTGTATGTACTTTCCTACACAGTGCTTGAAGAAAGTCAGGCAGCCCAAGAAGGACAACAAGTGTCTCCATGTTGAACAAGAAGCTGCTGAAAGATACATAGTAAACCTTGAAGAAGGGACTGACTTCTCACACGTCTGCAGAATTCAAGAAGGGTAATGAGCATTGCAAGTGTTGGGGCATCCTTCCACTTCTGAAAAGCCTACATGTAATCTTTGAATTCAACAATGCCTTGAACTTTCCCCCAGGAAACATGAGAAATCAGATTAGGCCTGTTTAGAGTGAATTCAAAACATAACGACAGTGAAAATGCTTTTATCACCAAACGTTCTCTTCTACATATCATAGAATCATAGAATGCTTTGGGATGGAAGGGACCTTTAAAGGTCATCTAGTCCATCCCCCCCGCAATTGGCAGGGACATCAACAACTAGATCAGGTTGCTCAGAGCTCCATCCAGCCTGTCCTTGAATGTTTCCAAGGATGGGGCATCTACCACCTCTCTGGGCAACCTGTGCCAGTGTTTCACTACCCTCATTGTAAAAAATTTCTTCCTTATATCCAGTCTGAATCTACCCCCTTTTAGTTTAAAAACATTACCCCTTGTCTTATCACTAGTGGCCCTGCTAAAAAGTCCCTCTCCATCTTTCTTATAAGCCCCCTTTAAGTACTGAAAGGCTGCAATAAGGTCACCCCGCAGCCTTCTCCAGGCTGAACAGCCCCAGCTCTTTCAGCCTTTCCTCATAAGAGAGGTGCTCCATCCCTCTGGTCATTTTTGTGTCCCTTCTCTGGACCCTCTCCAACAGGTCTACATCCTTCTTGTACTGAAGACCGCGGAGCTGGATGCAGTACTCCAGGTAGGGTCTCACCAGAGCAGAGTAGAGGGGCAGAATCACCTCCCTTGACCTGCTGGCCACGCTTCTCTTGATGTAGCCCAGGATACGGTTGGCCTTCTGGGCTGCAAGAGCACATTGCTGGCTCATGTCCTGCTTTTTGACTGACTTCTGCATTTATCCAATAACTGGTTTATACATTTTCTACCAACAAGCCTGATAGCAGGACTTAAAGCCCAAATTTCAATGCGAATGCCCCAATAACTGGATTTGGATCCAAGTTGCCTTTGCTACAAAGATTCCTGAGGTTAAAATTCTGTCTTTGTACTCAATCTCATATCTAGACAGAGAGGGAGTAGGGGAAGAGTTGGGAAATACCAGTTTTAAAGCCTTCTAGAGCTGGCTTAGTAGGGGCTAGAACACAGGTTGACAACTTTCCCAGCAAGCAGGCAGCTATACAAGATGTAGGCACTGCCATCACGCCAGCGGCGCCTATGGCTTTGGCTCTGAAGGCAAGTGGCTGTGATTGCTGCCTGTAGTACCAAGCTCAGTACAGAAAAAGCGGTAGCCTGCTCTGAGCTTGTCTAGAAAAAGCTGTATTTCTTAATATCTAGCTTCTGGATCCTACGCATTTTAACTAAGTACCCACCTCCCACCTACCCAGATGGGGCTATTCCAGCTATTTGCGTAACATAATACTGCATTGCCTAGAGGTTTCTAGTAGAAAAAGAGAGACTCATTAAACATATTGGAAGTGGAGCTCCAAAGTTAAGACTGGGGGAGTTTTGGCCTTAAAAAAATCTGCCTGTCTATCCCATTTTAGTAACCTAACGCTTCCATTTCAGTGTAGTCTTCAGTCTCGATATTAGCATTCATTTCTGAATGTAAAAATAATGTAGTAGCTTTATGTCTGTTGTTCCTTTCAGTTCCACAAAATTTCCCCTCATCTTTAGACCATGAAAAAATATAAGTACGTTGCCTTAAATGGTAGAAGATATAAAATAGCGAAGCATACAGTTTCTCCTCACTAAAATAAAACTCTTTTCATTTCTTCTCACAAATCAGTTTTCCCAGGCTCTCAATGTTTAAACCTTCTAAAAAATTGCCCTAATTCCTCTGTTAAGACACTAACTAGAAACAGCCAAAACATTTCTGAAAACATCATAACCCTACAGAAATTCTATATTATTCTTTTCTGTGGTTCGTGACCATGGATTTATATTCAAGAGACTTTCCTTGACTTGTTCAGAGTGACAGCGAGAATCTTTTACTAAGTGGTTACAGTCAATGAAGAGCTCAACAATGTGTGAAATAGATCACACTAGCAAAAAAAAAAAATTTTATTAGCTTATACTTGTCCAAATTAAGTTACACTTGCTTTACAACAAGGTATGCAGGTTGCACAAGGCATTAGCAGCAGACACCCCATCACAGGTAAGGCCAAGCAGAGAGACCAGGCTAATAAATAATACCTGGACTCTGTCAGTTCAGTGCAGAAACAGCTTAAGTGTTTTTGCACAGTAGTCTGGGAACACAATGTAGAGACCCCTGAGGGCCTTTGATAGAGTCAGCCATGTCCACTGGGATGCATTATTTCAATCTCAGTGGAAAGCACTAGCAGTTAGTGGAAAGCTAGTGCTGCCTGGAAAACAGCAGATAAAAAAGAAGCATGGCAGCACTTCTAGAATAGGAGCAGTATGCAGGAGTAACAGAAATATAAAGACAAGCCAGAAAACTAGGTAGGAATGATGGAAAGCTCAAGCCAGAGAGGCATGAAAGATTGTCCACATTTTGAAGTGAGGTACAACCACCAGAAAAGCTGAGAAATATTGGTTTACAGTAACTCACCTTATTTGCATGACGAGCAAGTTAGAGAAGAGTCACTTGCCACATAGTAGCAAAGAAGTGATAACTTGTCATACCAAAGCACCCTGCATGTTTGTTACGGTGTGAATATACCCTAGCTATACACATGCGATAAAAACTGAATTTGAATCCATGTAAGAAAGATTGCATGGTTCGTCTTTTACTGACGCAGCCTCTCATAAAATTACTGGCAACTTCAAGTACTCACCAGTAAGTCTTTTAAGTCCAGCTTGACTCAGTTTCCTTTTCCATGCTCACTTAACTCAGTTGATTATTTAGAAGAATAAGTCAAGGTTAGTTTGGTGCTTTAAAATGTAGAGTATAAAGCCCAAAGGTTTAATTAAATGCACTCCTTTCGTGTCAATATTAAAGGAAAGCAACTCACTATCATTGCGGAAGGGATCAGTTCATTTACGGTATGCTAATACAACTACCACCATGACCATTTTTGGCTCCCATTGCTTGAAAATGCATTTTATTTCAGACTCATTAAGGCTAAAAACAAATAAATAAAAACCTACTGACTTTCAATTATGACAGAATTGACACCCTCCCATCCAAAAAATGCCGTTAGGAATTCTAAGATGTAGGTTTTAAATGAAAGCATTCTGTTAAGATCCAAGAGGGAAAAATAAAGAAATAAAAGATTAAAAAGTAACATCTGTCCCTTTCTTTATTCAATGAATCAGCTCCCAAAGGTTACCCATCAATCCTATGCTATTCTGCTGATCTCAGCATTTTAATTTTACTATGTAGTTCAGTTTTCAGTAACAAACCCTCTTAGATACAGAAAACAATAAAACAAAGTTTTGCTAAATCTGCAAAACCTGTTGTTTTTTTTTTAAAATTATTTTCTAAAACATGTATAAAAAACCACACACATTAGAAAGGCAACTATAAGACCTGACTTACCAAAGTGTTTGGCAAACAAAAGAGCATAAAGCACATTAATTAACATACAGTATGTTTAGAGGTATACATCATATACTGTCAGCATACAGAGATCTATGGCCTAATCCTTTAGCACGTAATTTTCTAGTAGCCTTAATTTTTTAGCAGAAGAAACAGGGAAGAATGATGTATTCTTTCTGCAAATTTCTAACCCGCAGTCTCTAACTTCGCTATACTAAAAAACCCATAACAACTTCCGTAATTCCTAGCATTGCAGCTTCTCCTTCTATGAAGTAAGAAAAAATTTAAACTTATATATAAGAATTTCAAATGCATAATTTTAAAATTTCAGCACAACAGTATTACATCTAACCACAGGCCACAAGAACCACCTTTACAAATATTAAAACATATCTGCTTGCATTGGATTTGTATTTTATACACTGGTTCTTCTAACACAATCGGTGAAAACACCCTGCTTGGTGAAATGGAAAATATTCTGCTCTTCTCACAACTCGCTTTCAGGCACACAGCAAGAGCTCTACTGTCTTTTGGCTCAGAAAGCTACAGTGTAATAGAACAAAAAGCACAGAGAAAATAATCATTTGTTCTGATGGGTTGGATAGCATTTTGTTATTAGTCCATGCTTAATCATGGATCAGTAAAATAGGAAGTATATAATTACACTGAAATAAGTACACAAGTCTAAATTGCTTGCTTAACTAAAAACTTTGTTTTAGGAAGGTTTGGTTTGTTGGGTTTTTTAAGTGCTGTATGCCGCTAAGAAGTAGGATACAGAAGTATATTAACCAAGTGTACGAAAATATTTCTGAAACTACTTTTCTTCTTAAATAAAAATTCTTGACCTGAAATAAATGATTGTTTGATATGTAAGCTAGAATAAGGCTTCTGTTCCTCAGAAGAGTAGGTACTACAGCTTATTGGAAGACTGTTTCAGAACAAACCACCTAACTAACTCTATATGGAGCCAGATACATTTTGAAGTGGGATTATATTATAAACTATCTGCGACAGATTCAATTTCATAATCTAATGTCTTCCTTCCAGTCTTACCTTCATACAAAATTTAATTTATTTTCCAATAGTGAATTAAAAGTAATTTCAGCTAGATGCTGTTCTCCATACTCACCCAATTTTCATATCAATTTGTGTCATTTACTTCACAGCAACTTTTTTGGCTTATATATATATATATATATAAAGTTTCTGACAGTTTTTCATAGGAAATGGTACCTGAGCAACAGATTCACTAATAGAAGCATTACCATAAGGCATTCAAATCAATCTTCTTCAGTATGTACTAATTAACAAAGGCCTCTTGCATAAAGAGTCTGTTCCCAAAGATACCTGCTTCTACCATTCTTCTTCTGTTGCTCCAAACTCCAAATGCTTTTGTAAAACAACTACAAGAGTACAAGTGACCAAGATCAAGTGAGTACAGCTAACATCCAACGCATCTCACAACCAAGATTCAAGGTAGGACATTGAACAGAGCTCTTTCAGCCCTGAGAGATGGATTCTGCTGTTAGACTTTGCTTCTCCTACTACTCTTTCCTTCCACTGCGGCAAGAAGGCCACAGTAACCCTGTACGACGTCAGAGGAACAGATGCGCAGCATTGCAGTTGATCTTGCTATTTCTCTCTGGCAAAATTTTAGAATTTGTTTATACGCAACTTGACCTCCTTCTGAATTCCTTAGCTGGGAACACAATAAGCATGGGTACTGTCTCTTCTTCCACTAACTATCTACATAACACCATCTAGAGAAACTCTGAAATAGCTTCTACTGCCAACCATATGCTAACAGTTTACAATGTATATATGCCTGAAAAATACTGTATTCTCCACTGAAAGGCCTGGCTAAAGAATAAATTTCGATAGAAAACTGCAGCAATTCAGAACCTAGTCCTCTAAAAACCTACCACAGTCTCTGGACCTTAATAAGAACCTGACAAAACAACTCACACCAAGAAAGCAAGCCATACTAAGCCCAGATGAATTTTTTATCCCAGGCAGGTAAGAAGACCTGAAGACTCCACAAAACTTACTAGGAATTTCCCTGTAAGCAGTCCACAGGGAGAGTACATGGACGTGACAATAATGAGTTTCAGAGTTAGCTTCTTAAGATTACACAACTTGCTGTTAAATACAAAAAAAGACTCTCGGTAACAATGAATTAGTAACTCAGAAAACTATGATTTTAGAAATTGTATTTTTTTAAGAAAGTAAATAAAATGTTGTAGAAGTAACAGCATGCACACGATGAAGTATGGTAAATACATATTCAAAGCCATTTTAAAACCATGAAATCTTCACCATCCAGTGCTTTAGGCAGTGACACCCATGTATTTTTCCCAACTTTTTTCCAAAGAGAACTCACTGCCCCATGAACTAGTCGAAGTGACCAGAAGGAAGGAGTGGGATAACGTTACAGCACCCTTCCCACTAGACCACGGTAGGGCATAGGAAACCTGAGAGGCATTTTGCCTCGGCCTCCAGGCCCACCCAGCCTCTCCCACAGGACGAACTGTCAGGTAAGAATTACTTTTCTGAAGCGGAGCTCTACAAAACCATTAACACCTAAGCCTGCGGTACTAAAACTCTCACAGTACGTGGCAATTTCACAGGTATCATCTCTTTACGGCAGGGGAATGGAATTTCAGGCCTTGTCTGCTCACGCCTGTGAGCGCCGAGGCGGCAGGGCGCTTTACGCGGGGGCTGAAGCGCTCCCGCGGGTCCCGCTGCCCACGCTGCAGCCCCACCAGGGCCACGCACGGCCTGAGGCGAGGGGCCACAAGCCTCCTCCCCCGGGCACCACCACCCCGACCTCCCTGCCCACCCCCACGGGAGATGGGGAACGCCTGGCCCCCGCAGCCCCATCCCCCGACCCGCTACCCTGCGGCTCGCACAGGTTACCCCGCGGGGGTGTGAAAGCCCGGGGCTGGGAAGCAGGGCAGGGGGCGGCTTCACAGCCCGGCGGGGCCCAACCGCCACCTGGGCCCCCCGGGGGCTCCGCTCG